CCTGATTTTGCCATCCTTTTTACTGCCAGTGTATAAAAATACAATTGATTTGTAAGAGATAAACCTTATCTATCAGCACAACCTGAGCTTCTAGTTACTTCTCAAACATTTGTGGTTCCTAGTACTTGAAGGTATGCCAAGACCTGTCAGTGTCCAAAGTGGGGAATTACAGTCAGCACCTAGGTTCAGGCTGATTAGAATCTGGACCCTTAGACTGCCGCTGGGGCAGTATACAGTCAAACTCCTTTTGGGGAGAAACTGGGAAATGGGAAATTTTGCCTGCTCTCTCTGCACTGAGCCTGAGTTTATAGCTGTGGGAAGGGCGGGGTGCTCCTGTGTTCATTTAAAAGCTGCTGCTTTTCTTGTTGTAGTCCTATGGGACTCATGAATTCAATCTCCATTGCATATCAGAGCCAGGTTATTTGGGAGCCCATCCCTTGGATGGCATCCATGAAAGATGGTGTGCTAGATATTTGGACATGCTTCTTCCACAGTGATGTTCATGACTTATTTTTGCTGTTGGAGCAAGCCAGAGGGAGACAATGAGAGAAGTGCCCACTGGCTCTTTCAGGCTTTGGGAAAGTTTGCTGTCATCACTGAAATGCACGCTAAATAGAAGCTGGATCCTCATTTTGTAAAGTATGTAGTCAAACTCCTTCCAAGAAAAGACTGGGAGATGGATGTTTTTGCCTGCCCGCTCTGTACTGAGCCCTGGGGCAGGGGTTGAGGAGTGATAGCCTGTGCAACTGTCTGCTTGCCTATTAAGTACTGTTTCTTTGTTCTAGTTTTGTGTGACTTGGTGATCCCAAGCCCTATTGCCTTTCAGAACTAGATGATTGGGAGTCCATCCCTCCAGTGTCAGCCTCAAAAGTTGGGGCACTAGATGAGTGGTCCAAACCTTTTGCTCTTCAAGGAGTAGCTGGGAGTTGGGGGATTCCTCCCAAGTGTATGGCACTGTGCCAGGGTTGGGTTTTATGTTGAGAGTATTCAGCTTTTCCTACCAGTTTTGGTGTGGGTATTTTCTAAGTCACCTGATGTGTAAGAATCCCTCAGCTCATTTCTGGATATCTCTCAGAAGGAATTGCTCCATGGGTAGCTGCACATTCAGTGCATCTGTGTGAGGAGGAAAATTCAGAAACCTCCTATGTTGCCATCTTGGTCCAGAGTCCCTTTACCATTTATTAGTAAAGTGTCTGCTGAAGACAATTTTTTTTTTTTTTCTGAAAATGTCTTTGGGTCTCAGGCCTGGCTGGTCCCAGGTCTGGCTATGATGCAGGCTCGTGGCTAGGAATTGGATCCCGGGTTTAGAATGTTACATTAGTGTAGTTGGGCGCCTGCACCTAAAATATGTAAACATAGTTCAGCTTATTGTATCATGCATGTGTGGCTGAATGCCATTATTGTATCCTGATATGTATGGAGCCATGCGGTTCCCTGGGGAGTGGAAGGGGAGCATAAGAAAAGGGAGCTGAAGAAGAACAAAGGCAGAAGTGTGCTCCCCATGGTAGAACTGCATTCCCTGTAATAGAACTGTGCTCTCCACAATAAAGTTGGTGCCCGCTGTTTCATTCTCATGTTGGTTCCTTGTGCATTTTTCCAACTGGGCTTCTCACCACTGAAACTTCTCAATCAGCTTGGTGCTGGCAATGTCTTTATTTATTTATTTATTTTCTGCTGTACAAATATGTCACTCCCTCCCCCCCCACCCCAATTTAATTGCCTGCACTGTCCTTTTCACCTTCAGGGCAAAGTCAGGAGAAGGACCAGAATACACCACTCCAAAATATGCCACTTTGGCAGGTGGATTGCTTTTAGCCTAAGGCAGTTAAGACTCAACAGACTCAGGAAAAGGTTTTTACCTCTCCTTTAACTGCCTAAAAGAATTTAGTTGGGCCTCTACCAGAAAGAAAGCTAATACTAAAAATAAGTTTTTATATCAGAAAGACTTATCTGCATGGCATGGCAAACATTTCTTTACCAGACATTTACTCTTCTCACTGTCCTGTGATTTGTCTTCCTTGCCTTTGAGACGCCAGATCCCTACTTCCTTCTTATTAGCTCAGGGTGGTATATAAATCTCAATTACTTGGCTGCTAGGAAGCCTCTCATGTCTTTGTTGGGTTCCCATACATACAAAATCATATTTGTTTTTCTCCTGTTAATTTGCGTTATGTCAATTTAATGATTAAACCAGTCAAAGAACCTGGAAGGGGAGAAGGAAAAAATTTTATTTCTACAGATATAATAAAAGGAATAGGAAAATCCTGGTTGCTTCTCCAACTGACTCCAAAGTATACATGCTTTAGTTATTTGTTAGAATCCTTAGGTAGTTGCATTGCATTTTGCCTGTAGTTTATAATTGTTATCAGTGTAAACCAGAACGTTGGTCTGAACATCACCATACCAAAGTCGAAATTCTGTCTTTAGTTTTTATATCTAGCATAATAGGGTAATAATTTTGCATGATTGCTACTTTTTAATATCTTTTACTGAAATTTGTTTTAAAAGGCGATTAATTGAATTATATGCTATATAAAAGAGTGAAAGGTATATATTAAAATAAAATTATTTCTAAGAAATATTGAGTAACATAAGCAAGTATAATTTGTTCCAAAACAAAAACAAAAATAGGAAATGTATATTTGAGTATGAGTATCTTTTTAAATTTTAGCATAATTTTAATGCCATGTAAAACAAATGTTCTCATTATTTGCTTTCTCATTTTTTCTTGAATATGCTGGCACATTATTTTCTTCTATATGAATTTTAAGAGCACATTGTAAGTGACCATTGATCCATTTTTCGTAGAGTATTTTTAAGAATATAATTGGATGTTGTCATATTCTGGCTTAAGACTCTTCAATAGTGTCCTTTAAAGTTCATAATAATGATAAAATAATAATAGATAACATTTATAGAACTATTTTTAAGTGGTAAACTACATGTCAACGTCTCATTTCATCCACCGTTCTCAACCTGATTTAGATACATACATAAATACATATTTATATTTCTTAGTTCCCCAGAGAAAATGACAGCCACTATCTAAACCTTTAGCTACTATGCAGTGAGTTTCCCCATTGAACTTAAGAGAAATATGGCCTACATATCAGTCAATATAGTGGTTAGAATAGAATAGACTTTTCTATTTTAACAAACAACCACAAATTTTTCTTGCAGAAAATTGAATATCTATTGATAGCCAGATTATTACTTAATCATTTTCATCATTAAATAGTTTGAGAGCTGGGCTCATGTGAGAGGAACATGACACTAGACAACTGAAAAGAGGTTCAAGAGATATATATGAAGAAAAGCATTGGGAAAAATACAAATTTCCTGCTACAATTTTTTTTTTAAACTGGGAATGGCTCTGTACCATGACTCTGTACCATGAATACAAAAAGCAAAGATGTTTTCTCTTTTTTCTTTTCCTTCTAATGCTACACGCCCTAAACTGCTAGCATCTAGGACTTTTCTGAGTATGTAAGAATTATATCCCTGCTACTTTATGGATAACTGCCTTTTTAAAATCCAGTCTTAGGCTGTAAGCAATATTTATAATACAATTTTCATATTCTGAGGAATTTGCTTGAACAAATTGGAAAGTTATATATTCAAGAGTTGAGGAGAACCTATACAGTGCTAGCACCTGGCTGACTACTGGCATTTTTCTTTTTTAGTGTATATAATTTATAGAAACTCTCTTTTCTCCATGAGACCAATGTGAATTATTCTAATTATTCTGACTTAATGGCATGACTCAGTTTTCCATACAGTTTGTAAAAACACCTGCACTTCTTCATATATATAAGAGAAGGAAAATAGTTCAGTTGGTTTAAGAGTATAGAAAAATATGAGTTTAATAAGCATTTGAACCTAAAACCATCAAATTATGTGGGGAATAATCTTTGCGATGCTTTCTATTAAATGGAAGATATTATAGAATGTAAAGAAATTTAAAGTGGTTCTCAATGATATTATTGTGAGCATACAAGTCTTATTTTGCCAGTCATGAACTTCATGATAAGCATCTGGAACATTTATAAAATCTACAAAACACATTTGGTCTTAAATTAAAAAGAACAGTTAACACCTAAGAAAATGACAGATATCCCTTAAGCAGTTGTCTTGTGCTCAGATAATGGTGGATTCAAAGCCAGCTCAGCATTTCCAAGAGCCTGATATTTCATCATGCCTCTGTCAACACAACTTGATCAATGTCTTCAAAAGAAAGATGAAGGCAAACGGGTGATTAACTTCAAGCATTTGTCACTGAGAAGAAACTTGGAGCTGTCGGGGGCAGTGTGATTGATGTTACAGAGAATCCTCTTTATATCTGCCAGTCAAGTGGAGTAACTGTGAAAGTATTTAATGATATAGAAGAATCCTCATTTCTCACCTTCAGTTTCCCTGAATTTTCCTGGTCAATATTTATATTCTACACTGCCAAATGATATAGCCAGAAAGGAGGAATTTGGGACAGGGAGAGAATAAAAGGCAAGACACATTCAGTTTAACTTATTTCTATGTTTGGCTTTACCAGAGACCATTTTCTCTTCCATCATTTTTCAAAATAAAATACACACATGTATGTGATCATATAATAGTACAGTGGAACAAGCTTAGGATTTGGATTCAGAAGACCCGGATTTTGGTCCCAGTTCTGCCACTCACAAGATGTGAGACCTTCAACAAGTCAACTCTGTGTTTCAAGTTCCATCATTCTCATCAATAAAATGGAAATAGGATTTTATGAGGATTAGTGTACATACAAGGACTTGGCACATAGTAAGAAAGGCCTTATAAACATTAAAAGAACACATATAAATGTATATTTGTTCACGTATATATTAGAAGGAAGGCCAATGGATTCATGTCTGTCATACTTTCTAATTTGAGTCAAGCCAAGAAGAGGATATTCTTGGGCACTTAGTGACTGCCACGGAGCAGATAGGACTCCACTAGTTTGTGTGCCTTGCTCTGCTTCCTCTGCAACCATGTCTAACAAACCCTATATGGCTGAGACTGAGCGATTCGATAAGCTGAAACTGATGAAGATAGAAACACAAGAGAAAAACCTACTGCCTTCAAAAGAAATTATCGAGCAGGAGAAGGAAGTAAGTAAATTGTAATGAGGCATGCGCCACTAATAAGCACAGTACATTCCATAAGCATTGCTTTCTTATTTTACTTCTTTTAGCTATTTAACTTTGTAAGGCACAAAGAGATGGATAAAATTTAAAAGACTGTGCTGTCCCTTTTCACATCAAAGAACCACTGACAACAAAGGCCGCACCTGTCTCTCCCATCTGCCTGTTTGGCTGGCAGGGAAGAAAAAGAATTTGCATGTTGGTGAAGGAAGAAACTGGGTGGGATGACAGAGAGAGCTAGAGTAAAAAGCAAGCTAGTCCAAGGTGTCCTGCAGGCTGTAAAATGCAGTTTAATCAAGGAGACATTTTTTATTGTTCAAATAATTTTAATTACTGGAATGCACATTTTTAATATGCAAATAAAAAGTTTTAAATCCTGAAAAAAAGAAGCTATTTTCAGTACTGTTTTTATTAATAACATACAAATAGTCAACCATGACAATTTTATTACTTAGATAAAATAGAAAGTTTCTTTTGGTAGAGTGTTCCTTCATCGTTACACAGATACTACATGAATTAGTACTCTAGCGAAAGAATATCAAAACTAGTGGTCTTTGTTTTATTTAGAAAGCTTGCTAATATACTAGCTAGACATTGTTATCCTTTTGGGGTAATTAGATGACTTTTTTAAAAGTACAATATGATAATAACATTTATAAGCTGTAATTCTTTTAATAAATAACCTTCAGTTCCATTCAGTGACTAAAAATATTGCTTTATATATACTTTGCAAGATGACTAGTTTCTTTTTTGATATTTTAATGGGACTGTACGAGAATGATTTTACTTCTAACACTCTATTTTGCTGTTAAAGGATTAAATACTTATCTATAGGATCACCTCAGCTAGAGAGGATGATTCCTTTGACAAAGATGCTGGACTGTGTAGGATTCATTTAATTCAAGAACATTGTGGTTTCTGTTTCATTCCAAGGAAGTGGAATGGTGCTAGATGGCAGGAATCACAGTCTTTGCCTGTAGAAATGGAAAAATGCATGTCCAGTTCCTGGAATTAGCTGCCTTCAATCTCAGTTGGTCATGAGTAGAAGAGAAAGAGAAAAAGTGAATGAAAATATAGCAAAGAACAGAAATGTTCATATACCTACACATATATACCTACTGTGAAAGAGAGAAATTAAAAAAAAGATGAACACAAAGGTACAAATAGTAGGGAATAAGTACAGGCATTGATGTTTGAAATACACTGTTAGAATATTAGTATTCTTAACATAAAACTCATTCTTCTCACTGTTCTTATTTCTCTCTGGGGAACACATTGTATTTAAAGGAAAAATTATGCCTTGGAGGTCATCATACACACTGAGTCATCAGATCCTACTTTAGATGGGGCCAGGGCACTAGGCATTCCAGGAGACTTGGTCAGAGGTGTAAATGATGCATCATTGCCCTACAGGCTGACGAGCAGGGCACCATGGGAACCTCTCCTAAAGAAGAAGGAACTAAAGCCATCCAGTCTCCACCAGACACTTCTAAGATGTAGCCATGCAGATGAAGTGATTCCAGATGTGAAGCCACTTGGCAGAAAGGGGAGAGACCTCATGAAAGCAAAGTGTTGAGGATAGATCCTGAGGGACTGTCCTGTGCCTAAGGAGTGTATCCTAAGTGACTTTCTGTAGTAGCGTTCTGGTCTCAAGTAGGAGTAGGAAGAAGGAGCAACTCAAAATTCTGTTCTGGGTGGGACAGTGGCAAGGTGCCACAAATATGCCAGTAAAAACTTGAAAGTTGTAAGTTGTTCTGTCTTTCTGCCTGTTCCTGTGGTGTCCTATCTTTTTTCTCTGTTTTTTTCTTTTTTTAATTTACGTATAAGATATCCTTGTATTGGTATGCAATCTTATATTGTTATATTAGTTTTAGGTGTACAATATAGTGATTTGACATTTTTATACTTTACAATGTGATCACCCCACTAATTCTAGTAATCATCTCTCACTATGCAAACTTATTGCAATATTATTAACTATATTCTCCTTCACATTTTCACCCATCTCCCCACCCACTCACTTCTGGTAACCATCCTTTTGGTCTCTGTTTCTATGAGTCTGTTTTTATTTTGTTTGTTTTCTATTTTGTTTTGTTTTGAAGTTCCACATATAAGTGAAACCATACAGTATTTGTCTTTTATCTGCTTGACTTATTTCACTTAGCATAATACCCTCTTGATCCATCTATGTTAGATGGATCTAATTCAAATCTCGCAAAGAGCAAGATTTCATTCTTTTTTATTGCTGCATGATATTCCTGTGTGTGTGTGTGTGTGTATGTGTGTGTGTATGTGTGTACCACATCTTCTTTATCCATTCATCTATCAATGGACATCTAGATTGCTTCTATAACTTGGCTATTGTAAATAATGCTGCAGTGAACATGAGGGTGCATAATTTTCAAATTAGTGTTTTCATTTTCTTTGGATAAATACCCAGAAGTGGAACTACTGGGTCTTATAATATATACATTTTTAGTTTGCTGAGGATTCTCTATGGTTTTCCATAGTGGTTGCACCAATTTACATTCCCACCAATTTTCTCCACGTCCTTGCCAGAACTTATTTTTTGTCTTTTTGATCATAACGATTCCGACTGGTGTGAGGTAGTATCTCACTGTGGTTTTGATTTGCGTTTCTCTGATGATTAATAATATTAAATATCTTTTAAAATGTCTGTTGGCTATCTGTATGTCTTCTTTGGAGAAATGTCTTTTTATGTTTTCTGCCCATTTTTCCATCGGATTGTTTATTTTTCTATTACTGAGTTGTATGAGTTTCTTATACATTTTTAATACTAACCACTTAGCAGATATATCATTTGCAGATATAGTCTTTCATTCAGTAGATTGACTTTTTATGTTGTTGATTTCCTTTGCTGTGCAGAAGCTTTTTAGTCTGAAGTAGTCTCATGTGTTTATTTTTACTTTTGTTTCCCTTGCTTGAGGTCATATATCCAAACGGATGTTATTTGGACTGATGTCAGATAGTTTTTTTCTGATGTTTTCTTCTAAGAGTTTTATGGTTTCAGGCTTTTCATTTGCAGATGACATGACACTATATATAGAAAACTCAAAGATCTATCAAAAATTAATAGAATTAATAAAAGAATTGAGTAAAATAGCAGGATACAAAATTAGTATACAGATATCTGTCTCATTTTTATACACTAATAATGAACAATCAGAAGGAGAAATGAAGAAAATAGTCCCATTCACAATTGCATCAAAAGAATAAAATACCTAAGTGTAAACTTAACCAAGGAGGTGAAAAGCCTTTATTTTGGAAACTATAAGATACTCGAGAAAGAAATTGAAGATGACAAAAATAAATGGAAGGATATATTGTGCTCATGAATTAGAAGGATTAATATTGTTAAAATGACCCTACTACGCAAAGTAATTTACAGATTCAATTCAATTCCCATAAAAATACCAATGTCATTCTTCTCAGAACTAGAACAAATCATCCTAAAGTTTATATGGACACAGAAGACCCCAAATAGTCAAAGCAATCATAAGAAAGAAGAATAAAGTTGCAGATATCATGCTTCCTGACCTCAAACTGTACTACAAAGCTATAATAATCAAAATAGTGTGGTCCCAGCACAAAAACAGATACATAGCTCAATGAAACTGAATAGAAAGTCCAGAAACAAACCTTCACTTACATGGTCAACTAATCTATGACAAAGGAGATAAAAATATACGCTGGAGTAATGACAGTCTCTTCAGCAAGCAGTATTGGGAAAACTGAACAATTATATGCCAAAAAAAAAAAAAAGAAAAGAAAAAGAAAAAGAAACTGGACTGTTCCCTTACACAATATATAAAAACAAACTCCAAATGGCTTAAAGACTTAAATGTAAGGCTTAAAACCATAAAACTCCCATCTTTATTTTTCATGGCTGGCAGTCTGCACCAACACTGAAGGAGTTTTACGCTGAGACATGAAAGACAAAGATCAGTGCTGTTTGACCACATTTGTAGATGAGGAAATTTCTTACATTTTAAATAACCATTTTTTTTTAGCTCAAACTCTCATTTGCTCATTAATTCTTAAAGTTGATGATCTTAAATAGCTTAGTGTAGTTTAGTGCTTATTGTAAAACGCTAATGTTTTTTAAAAATCTTACCTTTCTTAATTTCATCTACACTCCTAGATTCCTGGTTTTCTGGTAAAGCTAGCTTGAATATTTTGTGAGAAATGAAGTTAAGAGAGTTTAGAGCTAAAATTAGTGGTTTGAAGAGCCAGAACTTTCAGCTCCTGGCTTAATTTTATATAAAATTTCTAAGAGGCAGTGTTGGGGCATCACCCACACCTGCTGTATTTAGTGACACTTTTGTACTACATTGCCTCCCTGAAATAGTTTGAAAATATAAAAATCTATAAATAAATTGCTTGGAAAAATATTTTTATTATAAAGCTCACGTGAAAGCCCTTCAAACCATATATAGTCATATTGAAAAAAACCTTTGCTTAATAAACTAGTTAATCCTATAATCCTTCTGTAACACCATTCCCATTATGAAAGCAATTAGGAAAGCTTTTAGAATATATTATAATTATATATATTTATATATACATATAATTATATGTAAGTATATACACAATATAAATGTATACATAAATATATATGTTCATATTTATAAATGTATAAATATGTTTTATTTAATGTGTGTTTGTGTGTAGAAGATATTAAGTCAAGGCATTTCCTTTTCTGTCAGCTGAAGTTCCAATGCAAAATGCTGAATTCCAAGCATGAACTTTGTATTAACAATCGTCAGTTGTTCCAGTAGATTTTCACTAACAGAAAGACAAACACACCTTTTGGGTCAATCAAATAAGATTTCTTTTCCAAATAATATAGAGGGAAGTTTGTGCAGTCAGCAATAATTCTCAGGACAATTCTGGAGGTGTTTCTTCCAGACGCCAACAGGGTAGACAGTTGTACATGGCGATGTCCAAGTCATAGAATGCTT